AAAAAAAAAAAAAAAAAAGGAGAAGAGGAGGAGCCTCTGAAACACCGGAAAGCTAATGGAAGTTAATGATACTTTATCTCATAGTATTGGACAGTTCACAAAATTTTCCCCATTCGTTCGATACTTTCAGCAGTCAAGTGATTTATGTAGCACAAATACCTCCATTTTACCATGAGGGTACCGAGGCGCTGAGAAAAGAAATTACTTCCCTGAGGTCACAAACTTGAACTGTCACTTACTATGCGCCAACTAGGGAACCAGTACTGTACTAGGCTTTGGAATGTCAAACATGACAAAGCCCTGTATAGCCGGGAGTCAAACCATGACTGATTTTGTTAATACACAATCTTCTATAAAAGTTGTGAAATGGCTGTCAGATTTTAAGGTAACACTGCCAGAGGATTTTCACACAGAAGTTAGTTATAATTAAGAATAGGAAAAATATACTTATCCTTCCCTAATTCATCAAACATTGAGTTAGGAGTTCTCAAACCTGGCTGAACATTAGAAATCAGCTGGAGAACTTTTAAAAAAACATATTGGTGAAGAGATAACTAGAAATTGAAATTTAAAATAAAAACTAAATTAACAGTATCAAGAAACATTAAATATTTAGGGATAATTATAATGGGATATGTAAAAACCACTGCAGAAAAAGCTATACAACATTCTTGAGGTAAATTGAGAAACAGTAAATAGAGGGATATCTTTAATTCATAAATTAGAAAATTCTGTTATTAAGATATCATTTCTCCCTAAAGTAATGCATTTATCGTCATCCCAGTCAAAATCCCAGCAGTCTTTTTGTGTGACATTGACAAACTACTTTCTAGAATTTATATGGAAGTGAAAAGGGGCCAAAAATAGTCAAAACAGTCTTGAAGAGGAAGAACAAATTTGGGGCAGAAATTGAGACATTGTAGTATTGGTGTTAGCTTAGACAAATAGACAAATAGAACATGAGTCCAGAAACAGACCCTCACATACGGTTACTTGATTTATGTGAAAGATGAAATTGCAGAGCAGTAGAGAAACTATATTTTCAAGAAAGGTTGCTATATCAACTGGATATACATATGGAAAAATGAACGTTAACACTGCCCTCCCCTGCCCCTACGTTACACCATACACAAAAATCAATTTCAGGTTGATTTTAGCCTTCAATGTGAAAGGTCAAATAAAGTTCTAGAAGTTAACATGGGGAATGTCTCTTCATGGTCTTGGAATATGTTAGCAAAGCTTTCTTTAAAATTATAAAGGAAAAACTTAAATTGGTCTACATTAAAATTAGAACTTCTGTTAATCTAAAGGTAATGAGAGTGAAAAGACAAGCTACAAGATTGGGAGAAGATTTTTGTAACACACATCTGACAGGATGTGTAAAGAAAAGAGAAATCACTTAAAATATATACATTTGATAACCCCTACTTATTTTGTTAAGTTACTAGTTGTTTAATAATGTGTTTTATTTTCTACGGTCCTGTTTTTCCTTATTGTCTTTTAAATATTTTTTTATTTTATTTTTAGAGAGAGAGGAAGGGAGAGGGATAGAGAGAAACATCGTTGATCAGCTGCCTCCTGCACACCCCCACCGGGGATCAAGCCTGGGCATGTGCCCTGACCGGGAATGGAACTGGTGACCTCTTGGTTCCTGGGTCGACACTCAACCACTGAGCCACACAGGCTGGGCCCTTACTGTCTTTTAAAGCAGTGAATGTTTAGGTTCTCCAAGTATTTCTTACTTGTGATTTATCTTCACCCCGGTTTGCTTATTTAGTGGATTATTTGAGAATGAGGTTGGACAAAGAAAGAACTAGTTTGCAGCTAGGAGAAAGACACAGAACCATGGACAAGGTGAGTGAGCTAAACACAACCAGAAATGGAGGCAGGTAGATGGATGGGAAAGGCCTAGATGAGGTGTTGGAAAACTGTTGTTATAACGTGTCTTATGTGGACTCTGAACTTGATCCTTAAACAACAAAAGGCTTGTTTCTCCAGAATACCTGTGGTTCGTTACTTTATATGAAATATCTGGGGTGGGCATTCAAATGACATTTTTGCCAGTGTTGATGGCACCATCTTTTGCAAGCTAGGTAATACAGTCCCATTTGACAGGTGAAGAAATTGAGGTTTAAGAGAATTAAGAAACTTGCCCAAGATCACACAGCTGGTAAATGGTGGGGTAAAATTGTACCTCTGGGTCTCCAAGGTGACTTCAGAATTCTTAGTTCATACTGTTCTTTAATACCAACCAGTGCCATTCACAGTTGTCAGTAGCTCCTCAGCATTGTTAATCTTTAAATTCTGTTTGGAATAGAATTGTTATAATTGCCACCAGATGGTGAATTCTTCTGGGCTTTGGGATCCAAGCACCGTGAGCATCCTTAGCCACTTTAAGAATTGTTCGCATTTTTTTTAAATACTTTTTTTCCACTTTACTTCTTAGTTCCACCACTCATTAGCCGAGTCACCCTGGTGGGCTGCTTCACCTCTTTAAGCTTAATTGTCCTTATCAGTGAAATAGGGGCAGTAATAACATTGAGCTTACTGTTTTTTCTTTTTGAGGATTAAATTAGTGTGTGTGTTTATCTTTGTGATTTCTACAAATTGATATTAGAGGTACATATATTATAATGAAACATTTTTCTCATTGTAGGTATTATTGAATTTTCTGTGGGGAAATTTAGATACTTCAAGCTCAACAGGCCCTTTCCAGAGGAAGCTATTTTGCGTAATATTTCCAGCAATGTGACTTTTCTTGTTTTCCAAATACACTCACAGTATCAGAATACAACACTTTCTTTTTCTAAGGTAAGTACAAAGGATTATTTCTGTAAAAACTATTTCTGTATTTTGGGGCCTCATATTTAGTATAAGCATTAGAATTTGATGCCTCTTTATGTCTTAAGTTTTTACAAAGTCAAGTTGGTTTCTGTTAAGTTAATGATTTAGACCAGCTAAGAGGTGAGTATCTCAGGCCTTTCTCGAGTGTGGTGACCTCTGATTTAAAGAAGAGGAGATAGCTCTATCTGGTTTCTCAGTGGTTAGAGCTGAAGGATCCTGGGTTTGATTTCGGCCAAGGGCACGTAACTCAGTTGCAGGCTTGATCGGGCGCATACAGGAACCCGCCAGTTGATGTGTGTGTCTCACATTGATGTTTCTCTTTCTCTCTCTCTCTCCCTTCCACTCTCTCTGAAAAGCAATGGAAAAATATCCTTGGGTAAGGATTAAAAAAAGATAATAATAAGTAATAAAAAATAAAGAGGTGGAGATAGAGTGCTGAGTTTGGGGGGAGGGGGAGTTCTACCAACTGTTTCCTGTTTGAATGTAGTTAAAGCTTTCCTCATGATTTCTCACTTTTTCTTACTCTACTGGGTCCTTAATGATTTTTACATTTACATTTTAATGGGTTTCCATTTTTGTTTACCCATTTAGTGTTGAAGTTTACCAAGACCTGTATGTTTAATAAGACCCTACAGGATCTTTATTCTTTGATCCCTCATGGAAACAAAAAATCCTAACACTGAGTTCATCTTCTAATAGCATTTAGAACTCTTACATAAACCATCACTAAACCCTGTAACCTCAACCTCAGCTTTGGGAAGTTTTTCATATGCCCTGGATTAGCCTAAGCAGTTAAAGACCTGCAATTTATGTTAACCTTTACAAATCTATTTCTATTTAGCTTATATGACCCGTTAGACAAATAATTTCCACTCTGTATGATGTTGTGTTTCTTTTTACTTGTTGTAAGCTTATCTTCTGATGTCTAGAATTTGCTAAACAAAGCTCTTTTAGTCCAATTCATATATATTTTATAGGCATTGGTCATATTATCTTTCAAACTAAGTAAGTATTTTGTATTTTTTTATTCTGACATCCTCCTCCTACCATGAAAGTTTTGAAGTTGCATACCTGTGTGTGGTCATTTAATAGATTAGACATGGAAGAGTCTGATCAAGGAGAACAGGAAGGAATAAATTGTTAATTGCAAGAGATAACGGTGTCTATGACCCATTTACATTGACTTTGCTTTAGTTCTTGGCAGCCAGAGCAGAAATCAAAACATGTTAAATTTCATAACTTTCTTAGTTGGAAGAAACATGCCAGTTAGTCAGAGGAAGCCAAGTTTTTTCTGGGACTATATTCAAAAGGAAACTTCCCATTCAGGCCTTACATAGGAGACATCGTAAAATGGCACATACATAATTTCCCTCTTAATAACATCGCAGCACAGACAACATTTGAAGGAAAAGAAAGGGTGGAGAAAAAAAGCATTTATATTTATTGCATGCCTACTGTGTGTTCGGCTGGTGGTTCTTAGCTCCTGGGGCCATAGACTTTGAATCCACTGAAATCTATGGACTGTCAACTTGGCAACATGTACAGATACATCTGTATGATTTCATGGGGACCTCTGGAACTCTCTGGGCCTCTGGGGTTCCTAGTTAGAAACCTCTGTGTCTGGTTTCCCTATAATTAATCTCACAACAGCTCAACAAAGTAGTTATAATGCCTGTTTTTACTTCTGAGGAAACAGCTTGGATAAAGGGATGTCGACATAACTAATGTGATAAAAGTGGCCTGGATCCTGGCAGGCATGATTCAGCGGTTGAGCATCAACCTAGAAACCAGGAGATCACAGTTCGATTCCAGGTCAGGGCACATGCCTGGGTTGTGGGCTCGATCCCCAGTAGGGGCATGCAGGAGGCAGCTGATCAGTGACTCTCTCATCATTGATGTTTCTATTTGTCTCTCTCCCTCTCCCTTCTTCTCTCTGAAATCAATAAAGACATATTTAAACAAATATACACACACACAAAAAAACAAAAGTGGCCTGGGCGAACAAGTTTTTGGGCCTCCATTTTCATGCAGAAAGGATATTATCTTCTTTATTAGTAATAATGTTCCTTCATTATGCTGCCTTTAGTTCTCACTGTGTCTGTACTACGGAGGGGATAACTAGAACTGCACACAGCTCTGGAAGTGAGTGGTCTGTGTGAAGAGAATTGTTTCTGTTCCTCTGCCCTTCCTGATGAAGGGTGGCACCTTGGATTTTGGGGAGGTCATCATGGCAGTTGGTTCTTTGAAACTGTCGACCTCATAGTTCGTCACTTAGTATTTGGGTCATTCTCCCCTTATGCTTGTCAAATTGAAACCCATCAGTGACTTACAGAAAAGTCAGCCTGCAACTCTGTCTGCAGTTACGGGAAAACCTGTCAAGGAAACCTAACACATGCCAATCCTAATGCTCTAGCTCTGTTGTAGCTAGCTTAGCTTATCCTAAAAATAGGACCTGCTGATAGCGTAAGAACTTCCCAACCTCCTAGCCCATTATGCCCTGTTTCTGCATCGCTGCTTTTAATGCTCTGTACAGCTCGCTCTTGCGCCAAATCCCTCAGGAACAGCTTATGAGACATTGCACTCCCCCAATCCATGGATTGTTTTCTCCTGAATAAAGGACATCACACTTGCTATGAAACTATTTTAGTTTCACCATTCAACATTAATTCTAGTACTTGACATAGTAAATCTTAATTTGGGGGGTTGAGAAGCTTGGGAATTTTATTGCATCTGATCAGAGATCGTGCGTATTAAATAGTTCTTCCGTGTGTGGGGGGGGGGGCACATGCATATAGAAGTGAAAAGAAGTCTTTAATTATCCAAGGAGGATCTGTTTTATTCCTTTTTGAGAAGTTTTGGAATAGAACATGCATACTAGATCAATTCTAGAATTTAAATATTTTGCTCAACTCCCTATTCATGATGACTTTTTTCTTCCTTATTGCAGACTCTCCTTCCCAGTACCTCGGGAACAGGCACTGACAAAGGACTAGTTTTCATTCTTAGACCAGAGCAGAGTATGTGCTCTTGGTATTTGGAGACTTCAGATGCTGAACCTGTCCAAAGTGTGGCCATTCCACTCTCCTATTCAGAAAGAGGTGGTAACCTTTCTGTCTTTGACTTGCATTACTATCTAGAATATGGAACTTGTTCATGAAAACTTAAGGAAAACAAATCTTATCGAAAGTGTTTATTGTAAGTACAATATATTTAATTAGAAAGGTTTTAATACCAAGGGAGCCAGAGAATTAGCATGATGTCGAAAGCCTAGATAGGAACTAGAGAATACATTATGCATTTGAAAAACATTTAAGGAATCCTTGGAGAAGCAGTAACAAAAGGGCAAGACACAGTCCTTAAAACTTTAGTTGGTTATTCTAGGCAGAGGAAGGAGCTGAAGAAAAATGGGAGTGCTTGGAGAATGGCAAATAGTGGGTGTGGCTGGAGGCAGAGTGTGAGGGCCGAGTATACAGTTTGAGGTTTGCATTCTATTCTGAGTTCGGTTCTGAGGAAGCATAGAGTATTTAAGCAGAGGAATGATATGATGCACTTCATCTCTTTGAAAGTTAACTCTAGAAGCAGCGTGGGGAGCAGGTTGGAGAGGGCATAGCAGAGTTAGGACTCAGCATACCTTTGAGGTCTCAGTGGGAAATGATAATCTGAACAGAGGCCACAAGAGAGGAGAAAGGGAAGAGGGGGCTGAATTTGAGATATTTGGAAGGTAGAATTGATAAGGCAGTGGTTATGGATTATTAAAGGGGGAGCATAGGCTTCCCATTTGGGCAGCTGGGAGATAGTGATGCAAAATAAGTGTAGATGGTGCTGGATGTTTTAGGGGGTTGGGATGGGGTAGATGGTGACTTCAGTTTGGTACACAATGAATTTGAGACACTTGTAGGACATCTGGATGGAAATGCATAGAAAGCAGTTTTAAAATAAGGGCCTGGAGTGGAGGAGTGAGGTTAGATATTTAATCAGTTAGCTCTTGTTAAAGTCACAAAAATGAGTACGATTGTCTAGGCATATACATAGAAATTTAAGGGGAAAAATAATAGATACTTTCATAGTGTCTCCCATATGCCAGGCTGTACATTGCAGAGAGGTCAAGAGAAGTGACTGAGAGTGTCCATTTGAAAGTACAGTGAGTGGTGGCCTTTAATGAGAGTCCTTTTAGAGGTGCTTTGGGCATGAAAGGTAGATGACAGTGATTGAGGAGTGAAGATGAGGTGAGGGAATTTAGACTACGCTTCAGATTTGATGGTAATAAGGAGAGGGAGCAGTAGCTAATAAAGGAGGAAGAATCTAAAAAGTGACCAAAGTTGAAGAAAGGGTAATTACCTGATCAAAAAACATGGATTTCAAGCTTCCATCAAGGACAGTGTACAAAGAAAAACTATGAACAGTGGAACTTCAATTACCATACACACCCTTTTCTCAGGTATGGTAAATATTCGTAAACGTAGCAAAAAGAAAGTATGAAAGAAGATCACATAATCCTGAGAAAAATTCCACACAATGTTGAAACATTATGTGCACACGGGGTGTCTCTATTCCAAATCTGGCCCCGAAAGTCAGCTGCCAGAATTCTTTAGCTTAAAGACCTAACTGTGGAAATGATTAGATGAGTGTATGTAGTTGAGATCTTATCAATCTTTAACTTGGTTTACCTTGTTCTGTCTTATCTCAGTCTCTCCACTGGAGTCCTCAGTATACAGTTCTTTGTATGGAGTTGAGTTCATGTCAAATGACAGTGATTTAAGTTTTGTTGTGCTTAAAGGCCACAAATAGGGTTCCTAATGAGAAAAGATGAGCTGTTTTAGCCACATTATTAATATCAATGAAATACCCCAAATTTATTTCGTGTTTAATTACACATTCAAATACTGTTCCGATACATGGTCTTGGGGATCTTTTGAGGTCTTTTACTCTTTTATTTATATACAAAGACTGGCAGAATTGATGATGACACTATTTCCCTGCTGAAAGAAGCATGTGAAAAGTGGACACCCCTTCCTCTATTACTCATGGAGTTCCTTTTCTCTTTGGCAAAGGAACCCTCCATCCCAGGGTTCTTATGCTCTTTTTGTGGGTTCATAGACCCCCAAATCTAATAAAAACCTCTCTCCCTAGTAAACACACACATTCAACATACAATTTCTGGGTGTTCATGGAGCCCTTGAAACCTGTTCTTGGATCCCAGCTTAAGAATCTCTTTTCTCTTGTGACCATTTCAACTCTAGGGCAGAGTTTGGCAAACTACAGACTGAACCAAATCCAGCTTGCTGCCTGTTTTGTACATAAAGTCTTATTGGAATGCAGCCATGCCTATTCTCTTATGTGTCGTCTATGACCACTCTGGTGCCATGAGGGCAGGGTTGAGTAGTTGCCACAGAGACCATCAGGCCCTCAAAGCCTAAAATAGGCACTATCTGACCCTTTACAGAAAAGATTTGCTGACCCCCGTTCTAGAGCCCTTACCCTCAGTTAATTTTACCCTCTTTAACCTCAGCTCATGAGGTAATACAAAACTAGAAGCTCTGTGTTTAATTTCTATATTGGAAAGTTCTTGCAAGAGTAGAGTTCTGTTTTCTGAGTGTAATTTAAATATGTAAAAATTCTGTGTTGAGTGACTTCCTTATTTTTCATCTAGATCCTATCCCTGGAGGCTGTAATTTGGAGTTTGACCTAGATATTGACCCCAACATTTACTTGGAGTATGATTTCTTTGCAACAACTATCAAATTTGCCCCAGCAAACCTAGGCTATGCAAGGTATGTCTGTCTCTTACCATTACTTTTAGAACATGCACTGTATATTCAGTGAACTCTCTCAGAACCCATCATTCTCTTTAGTAAAATTGAATTGTTCAATTTTTTTGAATGAAAGTAATTCATACATTGTAACTAATACTGGAGCTGTCATTTATGGTTAATATTGTCTCTCTCAATTAGTATAAAGAGTCAGATGCCAAGTTTCTATTATGAGCTTACAAGTACATCTTAGTATCCATTAAGAGTTTTAAATATTGAAAGCATTTTGGGCCTCAAAACATACTTTTTTTTTTTTGGTAAGGATTTTATTTTAATTAAAACTCTGCTTTTGTTTCTACTTTAATAATAATGCTAGCTAATGTTTGAGTAACATTTGAATGCTCTCTGTGCATCATCCACAGTGCTGAGTGCTCTATGTTCTTTGTCATTTAATTCTAGCAATTTTATTAAGCAGGGCAGTTGTTCTTACTTTACAGAGGGGTTCCCTAAGGGTCTTTGAGATTAAGTGACTCCTACTTACCTCTAACAAATGGCAAAGCTGGCATTTGACTCTAGGGCTGACTCACATTAACATCTGGTTATTCAACCATACTTCCTGTCAGTGTCCTTTTACTTAATAATGCCAAAATTGGAATCATTGTTTCAGAAGTTTGAAATTCAAGCTTTTGGTTCCCTTTTATAGGTGGGACTTCCCCCACAAGAGACTGATGTTCTGTTTTGTTGGTTGACTTTAGAGGCACAGATTCTCCACCATGTGACACAAAGACGGGACAGGACTCTAGGTGGAGGTTGCAGTACGATGTCTATCAGTATTTTCTGCCCGAGAATGACCTCACTCAAGAGGGGTTGCTGAAGCATCTGCAGAGGATGGCCGAAGTGCCTCAGGTGACAGCCAGTGCTATTAAGGTAAATCTGATTCTTGTGATTTGAGAGTTGAGTAGGGGAGAAGCTACCAGGAGCTTATTTCTTTACTGTTCACGTCGTCTTTCTGGGATTCCCACTTTATTGTCTCTTATTTTGTTATTATCTTGGGAGTCTTTGCTAGTGATAACTCAGTGTAATGTTGGGTTTTAAAGAGATGCATGTAAGTTGTTACTTTTTAGTTGCAGCCACATACATGACCTTGTAATCTTGAGATATGGATGGAAATGGGTGGTAATTCTCTATGTACTCCTATACCTATTAGATTAAAACTTTTGGCAAATATAAAGGTAAGAGTTTCGTGAGAAAAAATGAGAAACTATTTAACTATGTACTCATTGGCATTAATGTTTAAACCCAAACTCCAAGTCTCTAACTTGGAGAAAAATTTTCTCTGAGCTTTTGAACCCATGTAGCGTCTTGCTACTCCACGTGTGAGGTATGGGCCAGAAGCATTGGCGTCACCTGGGAATTTGTTAGAGTTGTAGACTCAGGCTCCACTCAGACCTCCACAATCAGAATTTTCATTTTATGAGATTCCCCAGGTGATTCCTGTGCACAATAAAATTTCAGATTCACTTTATAGATAATTTCTGTGGAGGGCAGGATTTTATCTTTATGTTTTGAAAGGTGCTTGATAAGTAGTCTAATATGCAAGGTCATCATTCTAATGGTCGATGGGTAGAGTTTTTCTAGACTGCTCTGATTCTTCTCAGAAAGCTGAGAGATTACCAGATTATATAGAAAGAGGTGATTGAAACAGGGCATACATGGTTAGCCTCAGGGCTCATCTGGTACAGAGCAAGATCTCATTTTGTTGCTTTGTTTAACCTAGGATGTTACTGTCCCATGCTGAGGGAGCCTGATACAAGAAAACTCATTGTGCTTATTCACAAAGTAGGAAGCTCTATGGGAAAAGTTTATCCTTTAAAATAGGAAATTTTGAAGACCTAGTTTATTCTTATGAAGAATATAAGAACTGACGGAACAGAGCCTTTTTAGGTTACTTTTTAACTTTTAGCTAAGAGTTAGAGTATTGTGTCCTGAAATTCAAGGAAACCCTCAGTGACTAATGAAGACGTGTCAAAAAGGCTCTGGAACCTGTTTGAAGAGCCTCACACTTTGGGACAGTTCAGTGATCAAAACAGAAAATGATTGATTGCAAATCTTGAATAAATAAAAACAAGTTCTGTACTGATACAAAACAAACAAAATGAAAATCTCTCCTGTTGCTACCATTGGAAGAGACTCATGCCACGTTGCTCTGAAAACGGAAGGAATTTGTCCTGCTTTTTTTAAAGGAGGGACTGTAATTCATCCTCAGTTGATGAGAGAAAGCTCTTCTTTACAGAACAATGCCAACTAATAAATGTAGAGGGAATAATTAGAATTAGAAAATCACCATTTTGTGACCCTCAATGAAATAATTCAGGCAAGGATCATTAGATGAAATATTGATGGGGGACAGGTTACTCCCTGGATGCCTAAATAGCACCCTTACATTCTAATTGTAAAGGGAAAACTGTTTTTAGGGTGGAGGGATCTGACTGTCTCCTCCTTATCCCTGCGGTCAACACAGCTTCGCTGATCATGGGTCCACCTGCATCATGTGCTCACGTGAGTGCAGTCTGACATTATAACCATTACCATAACCTGTGGAGTATTTTAGCAAAACATGGTTACCCTGAATTCAGTCCTTGGAGTTTCTGTTTATAGGAAACACAGGGGAGTAAAGTGCAAATTGGACACTTTGAACACAATCTGAAAAGTTCAGATTGTGGAATGTTCTGTAAAGTGACTGCCCTTGACCTCTTCAAAATTCATTGGGTGAGTGGGAGTAGGGTGGTGGAAAGGGCTGTTCTAGATTTCAGAGGTTAGAGATAAATACTGTGCATGAAACTTGGTTGGATCTTGGTTAAAGGGAATAAAAGCCATAGAAGATGTTTGGAAAAATCCGGACATGGACCTTGTGTTAGGTAAGAATTTATTAATTTTCTTACATGAGGCAAGGCATTGTGGATGTGTAGGAGAAGATCCTTTTACACCATACCTTGCTACTCAGAGTGTGGTAGGTGAACGCATAGCATTGGCCTCAGCAGAGAGATTGTTAGAAAAACAGAGTATCAGGTACCTCCTCTGACCAACAGAATCAGAATCTGAATTTTAACAAACTGTCCCAGTGATTCATAGACACTAAGTTTGAGAAGCACTGTTTTAGGACATGCACACTGTGTTTTTTAGAAGTGGAATTTCGTGATATCTGTAACTTACTTTAAAATGGTTCAGCAGAAGAAAATAGAGGGGCGAAGAGAAGGAGGGAGAAATAGAAAAGCAAATATGGTAAAATATTAACAGTGGTTGAATCTAATTGGTGCTTTGTAGTTTATTAATTGTATTATTCTTTCAGTATTTCTGTAAGGAAGGTTTCATAGTAAAAACTTGGGTCAGTAGGAAGTACATTTTGTTACACTTGACCTAATACTTTGCCCAAGTAACATATTTATGAAGGCTAAGCAATATTGCCAAACAGTGGAAGTCCTCTAAGAGGCTCATAATTATTCCTGAATTTCTAATATTTAATTTTCTCACTTATATTAATGGGAGCATAACTATGTATTATGGTTACATAGAATTTTTTTTCTTCTGTTATATGTATTACCTATTTAAAAAATAACTTTTAAAAGGGAATTTTTGAAGTTAAAGAGTATTGCATAACACAACTACATATAATGTTTTCTTATTTCTGAGTCTGTTAAGCAAAAGTAAGTGGGTACTCTCTGTGAGGTATAACAGACTTTGTCAGCTCTGTAACTAGTAGTAATGGCTAACAATTGTTGAATACTTACTCTGTGCTGGGCATTGTGCCTAAGTCCTGAGGAAAGACTAGTGAGCAAAATAAATACAGTTCCTGCCCTTATGTTCTGTACAATCTAGCAAATGAGAAAATACATGTTTTTGCTTTTTCCTAATTAGCCTTTACATGTTACTTATGTGTCTTATTTTACTTATTAACATTTAACACTATGCAAAAACTTTAGAAACATTTTGTGTAAGAGCTTCTGTATATTAGTACATACCATCTGTGTAGGACAATCTTTTGACATAACTAAATAGGTTGGTGTATATTTTAAGAATTATATTTTAATATTACAATTTAATATCACTTGTAGGTGGATTATAACAGAATAGCCTTAAAAAAGCTAAACACTAATCATGCGTTATTTTTGGCTTCAGGTGGTTACCCTAACAGCTAATGATAAGACAAGTGTTTCCTTCTCCTCCCTCCGGGGACAAGGTGTCATTTATAATGTCATTGTGTGGGACCCACTTCTTAATACGTCTGCCGCTTACGTTCCTGTTCACACATATGGTTGCAGCTTTGATGCAACACAGGGTAATTGTTCTTCTCTTGGTGAGTATATGGATTTAAATTTGGAAATTCTTCTTTGGCTTTGGAAATTCTTCTATGTCAACTAATATAGAATTTAAGAATATTAAAAATGCTTTTGTGTAGTATTCATTTATTCATTCATTCTACAGATTCCTTTTAAGCCCCTACACTACTCCACTCTCTGCTCTCAGCATTGGACTATAACAGTGAACAAAAAGACAAAATACTTGCCCTCCTGGAGCTTATATTATAGTGGGGAAGATGAGATAGACAAGGTAAACTTGTGACATATGATACATGAGAAAGTGATGACTGCTAAGAAGCAACAACGAAGTAGGAAGGGAGATAAGTGGCAGTGAGAGAAGAATTAGAGATAGCATGGCCAGGGAGTCCTTGCTGGGAAGGTAATATTTGTATAAAGACCCAAGGTGAGGCCCAGAGCCGCATGTCGGGGGCTACATACCAGTAGAGGGAACAGCCTGTGTGGAGTCCTTCAGCTGGGAGCTTACTGGTGTGTTTGAACAACTGCATCGAGAACAGGGACTGGAGGAGCCTGAGGAGGGCTAGTTGTGCAGGGCAGGCAGCTAATTCATGGTCTTTTAGGTCATAATAGCTAGCCTTTATTCCGAGTGAAATGGAAAGGCATTGGAGGGTTTGAGCAAATAGTGCCATGATCGGACTCATATTTTAATGGGATCACTCCAGCTGCTTTTTTGAGAAAAGTCAAGGACAAGAAAAGAAACAGAGATTGATCAGCAGGCCATTGTAGTAAGCCAGGTGAGAGATGATGATGACAGTTAGGAACAATGGTGGTAGTAGAGGTGTGGCAAGGTCATTTTCTGTGTGGGTACTAACATTTTATTTTGAAATAGTTTCATGGAAAAGATGCAAAAATAGTACAAAGCATTTCTGTATAATCTTCACCCAGCTTCCTCAAATGCTAGTTAACATATTATGCTGTTTGCTTTTTATCCTATTTATAGCTCGATTTAGCATTCTTCTTTAAAGAAGAGCTGTTATCAACTGGGGATGAATTACAGTTCCTCCTTTAAAAGAGGCGGGCGGGCTAAATTCCTTCGCTTCATCAAGTTCCAACCACAGGCCTTAAAATAAGCAGAATGTGACATTGTCTTTAATTTTATCTCTCATTTGGGCTCTTCATTTAGGGGTGGCAAGGATATTTTTAAAATAAATTATACATGTATGGAATAAACTATTGTCAGTTGATTTTGCTTTTTTTATGAAGCTTCTGTTAATTAAATACAAAGTATCAAATTGCATGTATTATCTACTAAATTTTCATTATTTTTAGGAAGAGTATCTACCAAAGTATTTTTCACTCTTTTTGCCCTGCTTGGTCTCTTCATTTGTTTCTTCGGACACAGATTCTGGAAAACAGGTACTATGTCTGATGTAGTTGTTATTTACATGCCTCATGGTCTTTTTTCCTTAAATGCTGTGGGGAATTTATGACCTGTAAGGAGAGTAAGCAACTATTTATCTCCACTATCTTCCTAGATTTGTGGCTGAGCTATTTTAGTAAAGATTCTACTGAGTTGCTCAGCATTTTTTTTTCTTTCTCTTTTCTCAATAATGGAGTACAACCTCCTCTTGTTAAGAAGGGAATAAAATTTATTTGTGCAGCAAACTTCTTCAATTGCTAGATTTGCTAGTTGGTTAAAGATAACAGGTTAGAAATTAGGATGTTACTGTAAAAAAATGTGTATGTGTGAAGTTTGGTGATGGTGATCAACATGGTTTCATGTAAGTCCAGCTGTAGGGCTGTATGTTCAGTGAGACTGAAATATCTGCTTGGTCCTAGGAGGTTCAGACAGCAGAAGGGAACTCACAGGACACTCAGTGAAACTCAGTGTGGGGGTAGAATATAAACTATGCTTCACTGCCCAGCCGGGCGTGGCTCAGCGGTTGAGCATCCACCTAGGGTCCAGGAGATCAAGGTTCCATTTCTGGTCAGGTACATGCCCCGACTGCGGGCTCGATCCCCAGTTGGGAGCGTGTGGGAGGCAGCTGATCAATGATGACTCTCTCACCATTGATGCTTCTCTCTCTCCCTCTCCCTGAAATCAATAAAGACATATTTTTTAAAAAATTATGCTTCACTGAATTGATTTGAATTCTTTGGGTTGTCTTTTATGTAACTGATGTTTGCAATTACTAAAAAAAAAATTTCTTCTTTAATTCATTAACAAGGAGTATAAATGGAGCATTAAGGGGATAGTGAACATAATCCTGACCTCACAAAACTCTTTAAACTTGCTTAATTGTTTGAAATAGAAATTCCTTTCCCTCCATTACTGTACTTTTTTTCTTGATTGAGAAGAGACTATTGTGAAGAATATTTAATTCCTCAAAGTGGGGAATGATTCTCTAACAAAGAATTTAATTGTAAGGCGCTAAAGATATTATCAGGTATTTTAATGGATGAAGACAATGGTTGACTGTTTATCCTAAACAGGAAAGGATGAGTTAAAAGGAGATATAAAAGTCACATTTTGCTTTGAAATATTTTGTTATTTATTTTTTTACCTTTTAGGTTTTATTTTTGCTCACTTAAGTGGAAATTTACTATGCAACTTCAGATCAGACACAATGACAAAAGTACTATTCTTATTTTAAGAAGGAAATATAAATATGTTAAAATGAGCTCTGAAATTAACAACTTAGCAATTGAAATTGACCTATATACAAGAAGGTATAACTTGTGGTTAATACTTTAATATTGTACCCATTTAATAGTAATACTCCTAATGAGTTTTAAATTTTTCCTGTCTTTTAGATAATTCTCTTCTCTGAATGCCCTAATGTGGAAGCATGAATATGTACATTAGATACTTAAATTGCATTGTAACCTAACCATAGCTTGTGCTTTCTTCTTTTCCTGGTGGTTTGCTGCTAGAATTATTCTTCATAGGCTTTATCTTCGTGGGATTCTTCTTTTATATACTGATTACAAGACTGACACCTGTTAAGTATGATGGTAAGTGAAAATAAGATAGTTTAATTAGGTGTTCAAAAAGGAAGATGCTGCCCCACCGGGCATGGCTCAGCAGTTGAGCATCGACCTAGGATCCAGGAGATCGTAGTTGGATTCCCTGTCAGGGTACATGCCCGGGTTGTGGGCTCGATCCCCAGTTGGGGGCGCGCAGGAGGCAGCCGATCAAAGACTCTCTCATCATTGATGTTTCTCTCTCCCTTTCTCCCTTCCTCTCTTTGAAATCAATAAAGATATTTTTAATAAAAGGAAGCTTCTGTGTTTACACTCCACCTCCTTTGCTTCTCCAGTTTGGCCAGTATTGGGTGTGATATGCTATTATGTGTTTAAAATAATGTAAAACCTATGTTCTAAACATCTTTTCTAAAGTGCCCATTCAGACCTTCTCTTCCAAGTTTTTGGTACTTGGTAAATTACTTGGTACTTAGGGAAATGAAGGGCCATATGGGTTATAAACCTATGTTTCAGCCTTGTGGTATATTGAAATATGAGATTTACAACAGTCAGAATGTTAAGATTTTCTTTGCCTTCAAACAAACACAAGCTTTCCTTCCTTGTCATGTTTAACAGAATGCTTGTCATTCCTTCTTTCTCAGCCCCAGTTTATAGGTTGTGCTAAGGCATGCCTGTCACCAGTCCTGGGAGGTTTAGCTGTCCAGCTAGTGCTCATGTCTCAGACTGGCTCCTCCCTAGAGACAGCCCATGCTGGTTTCATGGCACCACTGAAGAGCCCGCCAACCTTCTGTTGGTGTTTGACCAACAGAAAGGCTAAGGATGGCTCTGGTAATGGTGTATTGTGTCTAAAGCATGCAGTCAGAGAAACTACTTTTGGTCAAATAGTTTATCTTCTCTCTTCGTGCAGTTCGTCTGATTCTGACAGCCATTGCTGGAAGCGTTGGTGGGATTTTCTTGGTAGCTGCTTGGTGGCGATTTGGCATCCTCACACTCTGCATGCTGTGTGTTGGCCTAGTGCTGGGATTCCTCATCTCATCAGTGACTTTCTTCACTCCCCTGGGTAAGAGATGTGTAACTGGTGTGTGTTCAGTTTATTGTTTGAAAGGTCTTATTTGGGCTCTGTAGGTACAAATACTACCTCATCAGGGATGTGGGGTCTTCTATAGAGCCGTGGGAATTTGCACTTGATGATGTGGCACTTTAGGGAGGGCCAGTACAAATAAGAATCCCTCTTTCCTCAAAGTACCTGTACTGAATGTCTTACAGAATGACTTTAGAGGTAGCTTTGTACCTATTTGTTGTAATAAGGTGTGTGTCTAAGAGTGTTTCTGTTAGAATTAATGGAGGAAAAAGGCATTTTTAGTATATAGCAGAACAGTGGGGTTTTTTTAATTTTTTAAACCCTGGAACTCTTTCTTCAAATGAATCTTAAAGCAGAAGTCCAATATATCCCATAGGTAAATTTGGTGCTGCTTTGATGGCAGCTGACTTGGGGAACTTGGTGCCTTGTTCCCAGTGTTTTCTTTTACCTCTAACCTCTACTCCCACCCGTCGCCAAACTTTGTGTTCCTAAGATACCTACTTGTAGTCATCTTGGACCATAGAACAGGGATGGTTCTGGGGACTTTTTTCTAAGTAATTCCATTTCTCAAGGTAAAAAATCTGGTTAACTTGTAAGTTGACTTTCTTTGTAGTTGTGCAATAACTTACATTTCCTGACTGTTGTCAAAAATGGAAAAAGAGTACCTACATTCCAAGGTACTCTACTAGGCTATTCTTTTTTGTAATAATGTTTAGTTCTTGTATTACAATACCACATTAAAGTTGATAGGAATGTTAGATATAAGTATAGTTGTCTTCCTGACCGGAATGGCTAAGTAGTTGAGCATTGACCCATGAACCAAGGAGATCAGGTTTCCATTCTTGGTCAGGGCACATGCCCCCGTTGCAGGCTCGATCCCCACTAGAGGGCATGCAGGAGGCAGCCAATCAATGACTTGCATCATTGACGTTTCTATCTCTCCCTCTCCCTTCCTCTCTCTGAAATCAATAAAAATATTTTAAAAAAAAGTGTAGCTGTCTCTTGAGGCTATCAACTCTTAAGAATGCAGGGTATAACAGAGTGCAGTTGGCTCTCTAAAGATGTTTATTAAGACCAGAGAGAATTGACAACCTGTATGTTTACTATTAAGAGACCCTTTTGTTTTGATTTTAACAAACCTATAGCCAAAGTTCATTCCCACAGCACTTGCTGTAGGTAGCTTTATTATTTATTTATTTATTTATTTATTTTATTTATTATTTATTTATTTATTTATTATTTTTTAAATTTATTTGTTAATTCTCACCGGAGGATATTTTTTCCATTGATTTTCTTTTAGAGAGAGTGGAAAGGAGGGAGGAAGAGAGAAACATCGATGTGAAAGAGACATCGATTGGTTGCCTCCCACATGCACCCGGACCCAGGCCAGGGATTGAACCTGTAACCCAAGTATGTGCCCTTGACTGGGACCCTTCAGTGTGAGGGCCACTGCTCTAACCACTGAGCAACACCGGCCAGGGCTTAATTTTATTTTTGAATTAGTGTTAATGGAATGCATCTTGGTGCAGTCAGTATGGAAACAGTATGGAGGTTCCTCAAAAAATTAAAAATGGAACTGCCTTATGACCCAGTGATTCCACTTAAGGGAACATATCCGATGGAACCCAAAATACTAATTCAAAATACTAATTCAAATGCACCTGATGTTCATTGCAGCATTATTTACAGTAGCCAAGATATGGAAGCAACCCAAGTGCTCATTGATAGATGAATGGATAAAAGAGCTGTGGTACTTATATACAATGGACTATTACTTGACCATAAAAAAAAAAAAAGAAAGAAACCTTACCATTTGCAACAGCAAGGGTGGATCTAGAGAGTATTATGCTGAGTGAAATAAGTCAGACAAATACAAAATGATGATGTCACTTATATGTGGAATCTGTAGAACTCCCAGTCTTCCAGGATACATGGATCTCAAGATATAGGGCCACCTTCAGGTGGACTGAATGATGGTGCCAGTGTCAGTATTAAATAATTGTCAGGCTTATAGTCTTGCAGTTGAAGCCTATTTATAAATAGGAGTTGTAATATGTTTGTCCTGGGTCACCCAAGGTGTGCCACATTTTGGAATAAGTTTCATAGGCACAGATAAATGGCTAGCTCCTGTCTTTCTGATGCATTAGGAGATCACATCCTCCAGTATGCAGTGGCTGGGCAGGAAATGCATTGATGGTAAAAATCTAAATGGGTTTTGCTGCTTATATTGGGTGGAAGTTCATATGGTTAAGTCTCAATGCCATTTACTTCTATAGTTTTTTTACTTTGTGGTACAAAATCATGGAATCATAGAAATTTAGAGCTAGAATGGATGATTTGGAGTCTGGAGATGAAGTGGTTCAATCTTCTCATTTTATGGGTTAGGAAACTGAGGTCTAGCTTCACAGCTAGTGAATGGAAGAGCTTGGACTAGTCAGGCCTCTTCTAAATTATCCTGGGAATAAATGCAGAGCATTTACCTGCTTGATTTTACTCCCAACCTTCTACCTGCTAGGACAAACTTCAAAGGTGATTGGATTGACAGCTAAGTGAAGAAAATCAGAATTCATTTCTAAGTGTCATCACACTTGCTGGTTGTTATATATTAAACCTTCTACATATGCCCATGTTCAGATGTTGAAAAAATGAAATTAAACTTGGGAAACCTGTTGCTTACTCTTGATTTCTTTTTGCTTTTTCAGGAAACCTAACAATATTTAGTAATGATGCTGTATTCTGGGTGACCTTCTCTTGTATAGCTGTTCTCATTCCAGTAATTTTCATGGGCTGCCTAAGAATAGTAAGTATTTTACCAAAAATTAGATTTATTTATTATATTGTCCTGGGCCTTCAGCTGTTCACTTACTGCATCAGTTTGCGTGTTTTATCCACAAGTATCATGATATCACTTATGTGTGGAATCTAATGAACAAAATAAACTAACAAAGTGGAGACAGACTCATGGATACAGAGAACAGACTGACAGCTGTCAGAGGGGAGGGGGTTGGGGGCTGGGTGAGAAGAAAAAAAGATATGTAGACATAGACGACAGTATGGTGATCGCCAGAGGGGTGGGAGGAGGTAGAAGAAGGTAAAGGGGGGATAATGCTGATAGAAGGAGACTTGGCTCGGGGTGGTGAACACACAATACAGTGTACAGATGATATGATGTAGAATTGTACACCTGAAACCTATATAATTTTATTAACCAATGTCAGCCCAATAAATTTAATTAAAAAAATAAATGTAAAAAAATTGCTTTTAACAGTGAGAGCAGAGAAGGTAGGACTCACTGTAATGCAACAACCTGATGGATCATTAGCCATCTCTGCAAAAGGGTTCTTCATCTAATTAAACTTTATTGTTTAAGCTCTTTCACAGGGAAGATATTTTTTATATGAGGTAAATCGAGTTTTAAGAGCTCACTGTGGGTGTCAAAGATTGTTCTCAGTTTATCTTTCTAGATAACCTTTGTTCAGCTCTAAGACTTGGTCCCTTTTCATGTGCCCCATGGGAGCAGACGTTCCCTGTGATGGAGGCCAGTGATGAGAGTTAGAAACTTCTTGTTCTACCAGAGGTGAAGCCTAACTTTCCCACTCTTCCACAGCTGAACATACTGACTTGTGGACTCATTGGCTCCTATTTGGTGGTCTTGGCCATCGACAGTTACATGTATACAAGTCTTTCTTACATCACTTTGAATGTACTCAAGAGAGCACTCAACGTTCACTTCCGCAGCGCTTTCACAAATGTGCCTTTTCAAACCAATGGTAAGACTCTAAATCCAAGAATCAGAGTAATAGTCAAGGAGGAATGTTGGCCCACCTGTGCTAACAAAAGCACTTGGTAGCTAGACTGAAAGAAGTTAACTGGATGGAAAGAAAGTTAACTGGACACAAGGAGGAAATAAACACCATACTAATGCTATTAGAGCCCTCTATTAATAACTTACGATCATAGCAGCAAAGGATTTAAATTTCGTAGGTGGTTGAAGTTCATACTTCTAAAATGAACTACTAACTGAACTTTGTTAAGACATTTCTAAATCAGGATTACTTATGTTTACTTGGTCAATTCCCAATTGTGAAAAAAATGCTGAGAATAAATACAGCACCTAATGGGTTGGGGGTGGGATGAGGGATGAGAATGACAACCTGGTGTTTTAGGTTATTCCTTGTTTCCCTAATTGAAAGTGAAAGTGATTTTTAGTCAATAAGTGTATTATTTCTTTAGTTGTAGGATTTCTATCCGTTACATATTTTCCATTAACTTTTTGAAGGAAAAGAGACCACTAAGTTAAATGTTGTAAGATATATTGGTTTCAGGAATGTTAAAATATGGAAAATGGAAAAGCATGTCTTAGAATTGAAGATGTACAAGCACAGTCGTGATTGTTATTGTCCTGAGCCTGCCCTTATTGGATAAGAGGTTGATTGATGGTAGAGACCTTGAAATCCATGTGTCTTAGAAGTTTTACATACAAGACAATACTTTGCCAAGCCTTTTACCAGAAGCCCAGTACAACTTGTTGAATCTCTTCATGCTCCTCTATACCCCTGTATTTGAGTTGGGTGGGGAATGGGATAAAAGCTTGGTGGAGGCCAGTGTTCCATGATGCATGTGTGTGAGGTATACCTAGATGGCTGCCTTCTTCCCCCTGCCCCTTTGTGGAAAACACAACCAACAGCTGTGCCTGTGGGCACTGGTCATAAAATACTGGAATGTCAAGGATCCAAACAACTGGTTCCTTTACAACCTGTCTGGACTTTCAAATACCTATTTTAATAGAAAATTCCTATTTTCAAATATAAGACTATAGCTTCCTCACTCATTCTTTGGTTTGTAAGTAAGGAAGTAACATATGTTTGGACAAACTCACCACAAAGTCTAAGGATACATGGATTTAGGCTACAAAAGGTTACGTGTTAGATCTGCTAGGTTTTAGAATACAAAAGTTCAAACTGTGCTTTTTGCTGTTTTTTTTAGACTTCATTATCCTGGCAGTATGGGGGATGCTGGCTGTTAGTGGAATTACATTACAGATTCGAAGAGAAAGAGGGCGACCGTATTTTCCTCCCCACCCATACAAGTTATGGAAACGAGAGAGGGAACGCAGAGTAACCAACATTCTGGATCCCAGCTACCACATCCCTCCATTGAGAGAGAGGCTGTATGGCCGATTAACCCAGATCAGAGAGCTCTTCCGGAAGGAACAGCCAGCTGGAGAGAGAACACCCCTGCTTCTGTAGACACTGAAGGGCTTGGTCAGTGTGATCACTGCCTCGGCTTTGGTGTTTTTGCCCAGCCTGCTTCAGTAATCTCCAGTGCAAGTCTAAGAAGAAAACAGGTTCTTTGTGTGTGGTGCCCTTACTGATACATGGTAAAGATGCCAAGGAGATTACAGTAATTCTGAGTGATGAAAAAGATGATCAGAAAATTGGTGGTAGGGATGCTTTTCCTTATTTCAAAATACTTGAGAAATTACCTTTTGGTTTACATGATCAACTTGTTCCATTACATAGATGCAGACACACACAAAAATTTAAAAACAGCGATTCTCATGTAAAGTCCTAGTGTTTCTTTTTATAACTCCTTGCACAAGTCTCTCACCTTAGTCTGTCTCAACTTGGACGAGTATGGAGGGTGGTTTGATATTGAGAGGTTTAGGGATTTAATACTGGGTCTTTGAGCATCAGAGTACAAAAGAACTACTTAAAAGCAGTCTTATTACTTAGTTGCTTCTTTCATAGTATCAGTAACAAAAGGTGCCCTTCTTTTTGTGATAAAACACATTTACCATATCAATAATTTTAAGTGTATAGTTCAGTAGATACTCTTTGTTTTTGTTTTTTATTGCTTAAAGTGGTCATTTAAATAGCTAAATTATTTCAATTATTTGAAAATACATCAAATTTATATAGATAACAGAACTTTTATATGATGATTTATTTATATTCCAAATAATGGCCTGTGTTTTGTTTTGTTTTCTTTTAAGGCCCTTTAAAATAGTGTTGATAGCTGATCTCTAATTTAAACTGTATTAGGTGACTTATGAATTGTTTTGTTTTTAGGGTACAAATGGCTCCTACTTTAATCTATAATCCCCTTAATAAGGAAACCTTTAAAAAATTTGCATTCTGTAGTCCATTCTACTAAATTAGTTGTTAGCATTGATGTAAAATAAAATTTCAAAAAATTTCTATATGAAGCCTTTGTTTTAAAGTGATGTAGTCAAAGGATTCGGGTGTTTTATGGAGCTGCTTTTTTAATTAGGACCTTAGCATTTGTAAGGAGAGTCCCTTCAGTTTTTGACCCTTTTTTTTTTCACCTTAAGAAAGTACCTGGATGCCCTGGGCTGCATACCTGCTCCTGATGGCTTGTCTCTTTACTCAGAGCCTCTGCCACCGGCTCTGCCTTGGACTTTAAGCTGGTGCCTCTGACAGGCCTGATTGACAGGGTGGTTGTGGTGGTTTTATGCACATTTGTGAGTTAACCACTATTTGAAATGATGCTGCTTTAAAGAGTTTTTTCCAAAGTACAGTAGATCTTTCAAGTTTCAGCTGGCTGGAAGACTTTCAACTTTTGCTTTTGAAATTTTTGGGAAGGGTTTATTCTGTAATCCACACTATTTATATAACTGCAGTAGCACTTAAACTTGAAGGGAAAAAATTTTTTTTTATAATTCACCATAGGGATTCTGGGTTCCGCCATATCTTTGTACCTTCTAACAAAGTTATATGGAATGTCTGTGAGTTATTTTCTATACCATCAAAATGCACTGCCAGTGGAGATTGTAAAGACAGAACACATTTCTTTGGAGGGGGATACAAATTGTTTAAAAAAATTTATGATAATTTGTGAATAATAAAAAGCCCGTTTGTACAATTTTTTAATAATAAATTACTATTTTGAAAAAAAATGCTAAAAAAGTCTCATTATTATAAAATCCTTATAATTTTTTTTTACCAACTGTATTTGTACGATAGTAACAAAACATAAGAGGACAATTTCATAACTATAAAAACAAAATTATTAAATTTTAAAAATAATTAATTTAAAAATCAGTTTAAGCATAGGTGAAATAATAGGAAATGAATGAAATCTGGGGCCAGCTGATGTCTTTAATGGATTAGTTTATGTTGGTGTCATTAGAACTTCAGGTTTGTCAAACTGAAGAAAAGTAAGTAGTATTACTGGAAGATTACACTGCTCTTCAAATGTTTTATTTCTGTTAACCTGTTATATGCTAACTACCAGGTTGCTAAGCCACAGCAGCTAACCAGTGCTACACACCAGTTGAGTTCTGTAGAAGATGGGATAGTAAACTGATTCTAACAAAGAAATTGTTAGAATATTAGACCAGGAATGGACTTTAGAAATCATGATATCTGACCCCTTTATTTTATTATATAATTATTTCATTTTTGTGGTGAGAATAAGGAAATCCTGGATGGAGTCAATTCTATGAAGTCACAGTTATAAAATAGTGCCCAGACCAAAATTTGGGATGCCTGACTCCCTTTCCAAGTGTGCTTTATGCTCAGTAATGAACATGTAAGTCATTGATTATTTTCAGTTTTCCTCTGGTGAATTGGTTAGGAGGCTTCTAATGTTAATATTGCCATGATCTCTTCTTTGGGGGAATTACAGTTTTACTCAGTGAAAGATGTTTTTCCAAGTTAATTCTCTGAGGTCATAGGCCATTATTCATTTCAAATAACATAATACTCAAAATTTTTCAATACCCATACATATTTATCTCCACATCAGCATTTGTCTAGAACATTTTGGTATAAAGTTCACTCAATGATATATTTGATACCTGTTATTAAATTTCATTCAGACCCCAGAATTTTTGGCTCTGATTTCCTTAGATCTGGGCCTCCCTCCAGAGCTTTCCCATTGTTTTCTTTTTTGTTAGGGACTGAATTGTGTCCCCCTCCAAATTCATGTGAAACCCTAACCCACAGTACCTCAGAATGTGACTATTTGGAGACAGGGCTTTAAAGAAGTGATTAAGTTAAAATGAGGGCATTAGGGCGTGCCCTAGTCTAACCTGAGTAGTGTCTGTAAAAGAGATTAGAATATGCAGAGACACCAGGGGAAAGTCCATGTACGGACATAGTGAGAAGGAGGCCATCTGCAAGCAGAGAGAGGCCTCAGGAAGCCAACCTTGATCTTGGATTTCTAGCCTCCAGTACTGTGAGAAAAGCAATTTCTGTTTAAGCCACCTAGTCTGTGGTATTTTGTTATGGCAGCCCTACCAAACTAATACACTTTATAAACCCTTTACCCTGAGTGTTGACTGAAAGATCTTTGGATAGGCCATTATGTTTGCAAGGACCACTCTTTGTAAAACTGAGGTAGGGAGGGGCTCAGGTAAATGGAAACGAGTTTACCCAGGGGCTGCAAAATAATCATTACACAGAGGGTTAACATGTCTGGGTCAAGTTACATCAGCACAGAGGCAAAATTCTTGAAAATTTTAATACAATGATAGTCTTTGACTTGGATCTCATCTTCACTCATTCAGTAAATATTTTTTGAGTTCCTAAGTGCCAGGCATTGCCTTGGGCACTAGGAAGATGGCAGACAATACAGGCATGGTCTCTACTTCAGGGCCAGCCTCATTCATCTTCAACTGTATATACAAACAGGAGCAATGTGCTGAGGCTTGGGGTTACGTACAACCAGGACAGGGAAAAGCTTTTAGGGAACACTGATTCTACCCAGATTTCTTCTGTTAGTTTTGTAGATAGCCCAAATGTAGCCTTCCTATCAATGTCTGATACTTATGAAGTACATCCTGTGTTTCAAGATTAGTACTATATTTTTATTGGGGGTCCAATTCTACCTTTTGATACTGATTTCAATATAACATATTTTCTGAAGGCTTTGGTTACTCCAGAACAGTAAGTTTACTCTTTTCCTTTTGCTCATATGGAACAAAATCAACTTGCAACAGTATCTTTCATTGAAAAAAACCCAGCCTGGCTCAGTAGTTGAGCATCAACCTAGGATCCAGGAGATCTCTGTTCGATTCCAGGTCAGGACACATGCCCGGGGTTGTCAGCTTGATCCCTGTAGAGAGGATTCAGGAGGTGGCCAATCAATGACTCTCTTATCATTGATGTTTCTCTCTCTCTCCCTCCTCCCTTCCTCCCTCTGAAATTAATAAACACATTTTGAAAAAAGAAAGAAAATAAAGGAACCAAGGTGTATAGTAAGGTTCCAATTATTTGTGTGTGTATACTTGATTTTAAACCATGTATATTTATTTTTTCTTTATAAAAGATAAATTATAACTAAAATGAGCAAAACCTAACAAACTTATGAGAATTTATAAACCAGAGATTAAAGTACAGTGCATGAACTATCTATACGGATGTCTGATGCAGCACTGTTTGGGGTTAAAGAACACTACAAACAATCTGAATATCCATTGATAGGGGAAATAGTTGAATACATTATGACACAGTTATACAATGATAGTTATAAAAAACTTTGATTTGCAGGCAACAGAAACTAACTGGCTAGTGCATACAAACAAGGGAATTAGTTGAAAGTACAGCTGACCCTTGAAGAATGCGGGGCTTTGAGCACTGACCCCTGCATAGTCAAAAACCCATGTAAAATGTTACACTCCCGAAAAACTTAGCTATAGTCGTCCCTTGTTATCTATGGGGGATTGGTTCCAGAACCCTCATGGATACCAAAATCCGCAGATGCTCCAATCTCCTATATAAAGTGGCATAGACTATGAGAGACAAGATGGCAGCGTAGGTAAAAGTGGTACCCGACGCCTCCCACAACCACAATCATTCAGAACCTCCTGAAGTCCAGCTGAGCAGAAGTCCTACAACAAGGAAATTAAAGAAGAAACACATTGACACCAGTAGGAGGGGCTGAGACATGGGGCAGAATCAGGCAGAATCCTGGAACCTGGGACCTGGGTGCAGCAGTTTAAAACTGGAGAGGGATCTCAGCTCTGGAGGTTTCCTGAAGGAGCGAGGGGCCCCCCAGCCCAGGGTTCCAGTGCCAGGAAAAGAAATCCCCACAACTTCAGGCTGTGAAAACCAGCGGGGACTGTCGCTGAGAGAGCAGAGGCTGTGGGAGTCCCAGGCAGCTCCTCTTAAAGGGCCCATGCACGGACTCACTCAGACATGCTCCGTCTGAGCTCCAGCGCTTGGCAGCAGCTTGAAAGAAAACTGGGCCATTCAGGGAGGAACTAACTTGCCTGGAATCAGGGTAGGAGCTGGAAGGGCAGCTTTCTCCCAGACAGAAGAGCTGGCAGAGGCCACTGTTCTCTTGACCAGCTCTTCCCCCACAGAGCTGGCAGGCAGGCACCTTCTCTGAATCTCCATCAACCTGACTCACACCTTTGGCGCTCCACCCTGGTGATTCCTGGAGACCCCGACCCTCCCTACTTGCAGGCTCATCCAAGCCATTTCCAGTGCTTTTCTATGCAAGTGGCCTCTCTTGCCTCAGGCTTAGGACTTTCCTAAAATCTCTCAAACAAGCAGGCAGCATCATGCCCCATACCTCTTGGTAAGTGGCCCCAGGTCTGGCACTAGCAGTAGCCTGTATTGGTTCGTAGCTTGGCCTCTTCTGGACACCTCCAAGCCCAGCACAAGTAGCAGCCATCTATGGATTGCTGTGTAGCTCATGCTGGGTGGCCCTGGGCAGGGCACAAGCAGAGGCTGGCTTTGTACCTCCCTGGAGGCCCCAGAGACAGTGCACCTGGTGGCCAGCTTCAACGACACTGCATTACAACCCTACCACGTCCAAGAGAGAGACACTCAAGGGGCGCACTTGGTGAACACCAAAGCCCCACGGAAGTAAATCCTGCTTCATAGGGGTGTCTCTAGCACAGCAGCTCTTTGGCTGTAGTTGCAGCTGGTCCTCACAGCCAATTAGCCTCGGGGTCAATTCCTCCCAGTGATACCAGTTGCAACCAAGGCTCAACTACAACAGGCAGTGCATACAGCACACACAGGGGAGCGCCTAGAAGGCCCAGCTCAGGTGACTGGGGAAACAGCCACTGGGCCCTACAGAATACCTACTACACAAAGCCACTCTACAAAAATCCAGGGGACATAGCAGCTCTACCTAATATATAGAAACAAACACCAGGAAGCAGGCAAAATNCATAGTAGCTCTACCTAATATATAGAAACAAACACCAGGAAGCAGGCAAAATGTGGAGGCAAAGAAATATGTCACAAATGAAAGAACAGAAGAAATCTCTAAAAGTAGAACTAAATGAAATGGAACCAAGCAAACTACTAGATACAGAGTTCAAAACAATGGTTATAAGGATGCTCAAGGAACTTAATGAAAATGTCAAAGATTTTAGTAAGAATTTTAAGGAGACTAGTGAGATCATCAATGACATAAAAAAGAACCAGTCAAAAATGAAGGCTACAGTAACTGGAATGAAGAATAATTTACAGGGAATCAAAAGTAGATAGAGAATACCGAGAATCAAATCAGCAATTTGGAACACGAGGAAGCAAAAAACACCCAACCAGAAAAGAAAAAATAATCCAGAAATATGAAGATAGTGTAAGGAATCTCTGGGACAACTTCAAATGGCCCGACATTCATATTATGGGGGTGCCAGAAGGAGAAGAAAGACAGCAAGAAATTGAAAACCTATTTGAAAAAAATAATGTCAGAAAAATTCCCCTACATGGGGAAAGAAATAGACTTACAAGTCCAGGAAGCAGAGAATCCCAAACAAGAGGAACCCAAAGAGGCCCACAGCAAGACACATCATAATTAAAATGCCAAAGGTTAAAGACAAAGAATCTTAAAAGCAGCA